GCCCAGACAAAGGCTGGCTCCCAGCCCCTGGCCACACCCCTTCTCCAGATGGCATTGGCTTTGGGCAAGGCCTCTTCCTCTCCAGTTGTGGGCCTCCCACCCCCAACTCCTTCCTTCCTGTTGGCAGCATGGAACAGCACGTACTGTTTATCAATTATTAGCACACATAATATTTGTTTCACAGAGGCTGCATGGATGTGTGTAGCTGACTTCCTTTAGTCCTTCCCAAAGGCACACAGAGAAAGCAAAGGCATTTTTGTTCTGTTCAAACCCACATGAACATGGCCATCACCTTAGCCCATCCCATTCTGCTTCCACAATCAGTCTGTAGGTAACACAAAGGGACACTCACATCCAGACAATTAAACACTGCCAGAAAGGTTTTGGCACTTACGGCAGACCCCCGATGGTTCCGCTGGCTCCTCAGATAGGTGCCCTTCTTGCCCCATCCTCCTAGGCCACAGGCTGGTTTGTGTGTTCACCACATCTGGCCTTTATTTGAAACTCCACCTCAAAGTATTTCATAGCACAGAATATCTTTCCTTATTAAATTCTCCCCCACATATTTTTTTCATAAAACAGGCACCAAAAACTACAAACCTACCCGTGGCTCTCAAAGTATCTGTTTATAAACCTTTGGAAACCGTTTGCAATTCGTTAATCATATTTTCAAAGGAAGTTACAGTTTATAGATACACTAACAAATGCCATATCCGATGCCTCAGCCCCAGTAACGAGATCCTCACGAAGGGAAAGAGGGAGTGGGGCTGGGGGACCTGGGATTCTTCCCAGGCCAGATCCCAGGGGAGAGGGGCGATCTGTCCTGGGAGTCAGAGATTCGAGGGTTTAGTTCTTTTTCTGTCACTCTCTGACACTGTGGCCACACCTATGTCCTCCCGGGGGAAAGCAGGTACAGAGGGTAAGCCATGCTCAAACACAGTGGACTATCTTGATTAGCAGTGAGGTATTTTGCAAATCACGTGTTTCTAAATAATCATTAAAGTACCAGAGTTTGTGAATACTTCATTTAAAATGTACTTTAAAAATGGTTCATTTAAAAAGAAAAAGTAAAGATACTAAATATATACAAGTTGGAACTCTGATGAATACTTACACTTGAAACCCAAGCCAGCTTTAAAAAATCTTTAAAAAGGGAAGGTGGGTAATGTGGAGAGAATGTGTTGGTACGTGAAACACCCAAAGGTATAAAGACTTCAGGCACAGCTTGATCCAGGTACACACACCGTGCTTTCAGGACTCTCTTCATGTACTCTCTCTGCCTCCTCTGCACTGGTTTCATTCTCAGGAAGGCTCTCTCCAAGTAGTGGCAGGGATGGCCACGAGGAGCTCAAGTTCACATCCTACTGCCTTAGTGATGCTAGTAGATGGAGAGCTAGTTTTTCTGGATAAATCCAGGAAAGCATACCAGACTGAGTCTCATGTGGGTTGGTATGAGTTACATCCCCAATCCTGAACCAATCACTGTGTCCTGGAGAGTTGTGTGTGTCCCTCACATACTCAGGTCACTGGCTTCCTTCTGAACCAGGATGGTCTTGCCTTCGCTAGAACTATATTTACTGAGTGTGGGGTCCAAGGGGATTCCCTGTGGGAAAGCCAAGGTGATTACCCCGGAAAATGTGGGGGTTAGGTGGTGGTGGTCCACAGCCCAGGTGTCTTCCGAGTGGAGGTCTAGTCTCTAGCCATCTAGTAAGTTTTCTTAATGGGAGAAAAGATTAGGTGGATTTAGGGTCATCATGCTGGAGTTTACTCATTGTCCTTGACCTGTTTTATCTATGCAACAGCCTACTGAGTTTTTCTTTTCTTACTCAGAGTAGTCACTCTGGGACACTACTGTTTATATTTTAAAGGAGCTCACTCATTAATAAAGACCCAAATAGAAAGTATTTCATACCTATTTCACTGGTTAAGCGGACATCGTAGAGGGGCATTCCTAAAGTAGAGTTCCAGAGGGGGTATCCCCAGTCCCATCTGTTTCTTTCAATGTAGTTAAATTAGAGACTTACTGGAATATGGTGACTTACAGACCGGTATGCTGGGAAATCTTCCTTCCCCTCACTCTCTAATCTCTGCCAGTTTCTTGAATACCAGTAGTGCAGTGTACTGAATTTCTTGAGTGGTTATTACCAACAATGAAGGAAGATACCTAGGAATGGTCAAAAGTCAAGGGATCTATGTCTGTGGATTCCACTTTTGCCACGTGTCGTCTAAAAGGACTTGGGTTCTTTAGCACAGTTATGAAGTTTTCTCCAGGAGAGTCTTGAGTCCCAACCTGATGTTTACTACACAAGTATCTTACATACCAAGAGGAGGCATATGAGTGTGACGGTCTGGCACCATCATCTTCAGCAAACATCTTCTGCCTCCCTATGGCTTGTGCAACAGTGACCCAACAAATTATTAAATGGTCTCCTTCATGTCAAGGAAATGACATAGTAGCCAATTGTATACAATGAGCCTGTGTCTTCATCAAGAAGGTTATGACTTTTTCAGGACTCACATTAGCTACATGCCTATTAAGGGTTTATTCCATGCTGTGCCAGGGATGTGCTTGCCATTTTACATACAGTACCTAGTTAATTGTCTCAACCTACCTTGGCTATGGAGGTATTTCTCAATTTTGCAGTTGAGAAAAAGGAAGCTTGGAGCAGCTGGGTGCCTTGCTCAGTGTCACATGCCCAGTAAGTGGCAGAACCACTGTGCTCTCCTCTTTTAACAAAGACAGGGGGACACCTTCTCTGAGGATGAAGGGCCTTGGGGGTCTTTTTGAATTTCTTTAGCAGCAGTTGAAATGACTTGAGGCTTAGCCATGAAAATTTGGTCAGGGGCTGTGGGTAGGTAGGGGTGTCCTCCTCCATACTGGCTCTGTGATCTTATTTAACTTGCTATTTAGTTTGATATTTAACTTGCCACAGGCATCATGGGCAATAAATTGACTGTAGATAGGCAGAATTAAGAGTGATAAACCACAAAGAAGTCCTTGGGAAAGAATGAAGCACCGTTTAATTGACTTTACTTATCTCCTTAGGACCTTGTGCTTGCTAGGTGTCCAATAAATGTATGTTGAATAAGTGAATAAAGGAGGATTTTGAAGTGACCAATGGAAGAACTTCCTCCAAAAGACAGTATATACCTAGCACTAGGCTACCCAAGAAACTGTGAAAGTTCTGCCTTTAATGGTCAGAAGCTGGGCCATAGGAACTTCTGGGGTACCTAGTGGCTCCCAGGAATGTTTTTTACCAATACAGGACTTGGGGGGCATTAGCACAGATAACAGAGGCCCAAGAATGTCCAACTCTAGCTCCTCGGGGCACAAGTGGGCTTCTCAGCATCGTGTGCCCCTCCCCCCTCACACCTCCTCACCTTGAGAAGAGGGTGACAACCCTGCTGACCTCTTTCCTGTCACACAGGCTCAGCCCCAGCCTGACTCTCTTGAGGACCACAGCTTCTATGCACAGTGAACTTTCCATAACAGGATCCAACTGTGAATCCGCTATCGTTTACAGTGGCTTCTGAGGGAACCACTTCGCTTCCCCTTCATCTGGAGTGGATCTGATGTCATAAAACTGACCGTGACAGTCTGCTAATTGGAAACCTGAGAGAAGGGAGTGGAAGGGCAGTGGACCAAGGTGGTCAGAGCCCACTGCCCCTTCGAGGCAAGGCAGCCTTCCTGGGTGGTGAGGGTGGGTGCTCTCCAAGGACATCTCAGCGTTCCTGAAATGCAGCCCTGAGGGAAGACAAGACGGCAGGAAAACCACTGGGCCCTGTTTGGCCTCACAGTGATGGGAGATCTACCCTGTCTGGCCACTCTCTGGGGGCCGGTTTGGGCCTGTTTGGTTCCGTACACCAGCAGTGATTTTCTCTTCCACACCATGTGCCTTCAGCACCTGTCTCCATGGTAGCCGAGCAGTGTCCAAAATGGTAACCTGTGGTTTGGGGTTCTTAAAACACCTAGAGTGATGCTGCGTCTCACTTAGAATCCTACGAATTAAGTCAGAAGATGACTAATTTAGAAATAAAAGGAAAAGAGAAAAAACCTATACATACATATGTATTTTTTCCAATATGCCATCAGCCGTATCCTATGAACTGGCAAAGGGGTTGCTTATCCTGAGCCTGCAGCAGAGGGCAGACTTTCCTACATTATAAACACAGCATTAAAGGCCCTAGACACAGGAACATCCAGACGCAGGACTGTCCAGTTGATAAAATGTAGGCTTGCCAGGTGACTAACACCAGTGATTTAGGGGGAAAAAAACTAAAACCACTTTCTCTGTTATTAATGCACTCATCAGCTTTTCCAGAGAAATGCCCTAATGGCCATTAAATCTGGTAGTGATTCCCAATACCCACATGTACTCCAGGTAAAGTAGCTGTGCTTAGCTCAGCACTGCTGTGGCCAGTGTGATAGCAAGTAGAAGATTCTGTGTGTCTGCGAAATGTTACCAGGATGTTGAGCCCAAATGTGGAGATCAGTACTTTTGTTTCCATGGAGTATGAGGTAGGTATGAGGCAGGAGGTAGGGATGGGAGAAGTATAAAACACAGAGGGATATAACTAGATTTTTTGTAAACTATGTAAGATGCCCTTTCCTGTGTCTTGAAGGGGTGGGCTTTAAAAGTGTTGGAGTCGAGGAGGAAGGTTGCATTCCACACATAGCATGTCCAAGGAGGGGAAAGGCTTGGCTCTGCATCTGGCATGTTTAGAGGTGAGGAGTCCGCTAGGTAAGTTCATAGGGAGAAAAGAATTGGCTTGTATACTCCCCCTAGCTGGGAGCGAATGTTTACAGGTGACTGGGCTTGGTTTTCCTGCCACAGAAACCCCAGGACCGCCCCCGCTGCTGGGCTTCTCACTAGGCCCCTCCACTCACAGTCCTCAGGCATGAACCAGGACTTCGGATGATGAAGGTTGCCCTGGCCAGTGAGCTCACGGAAATGTTTTCTTTGTTTGTCATTGTTTTCTTTCTCTTCCCCTCCTGCCAGTATGAAGAAGGGAAAAAGCGGAGGAAACCTAACTACAGTAGTGTTGACCTTTCGGAGGTGGAGTGGGAGGACCGCGATGATGTGGTAAGTGATTTGTTTTCAAGCCTGGTGAGAAGGGAGCTCCATTGTACCCTCCTCTGTACCTGGAGGCTGCCTGGGAGCCAGGCGAGAGTCCCACCAGAGGGACACCTGGCCACCAGAGGGTCGCGGAGACCACGGGCCCTTGTACCCGTTTGGAGTTTTGTAATGCTCCCACCCGTAGGTCCACTTGCAAACGGGCCAGCCACCCTGGCTTCTTTGTGCAGTCTGCTAAAACCATCCCTTTCTAGGCTCTAGTCTCTTCTGCACCCGATTAATCCAGACTCCTCCTCAGCGCCATTAATGGGATCTGTCTCCCTCAGGGGAGCTTGGCCAGAGCCTCGCCGGGCAGCTGCACAGTCAGGGCCAGAACTCACCTGTCAGGGTTTCAGCCCAGGGCTTGGCAGAGCCGCTCTCCTCCTGCTTGGTTGGCCACCCTGTTTCCAGGGCTGCCCCAGCCTTTCCCCTTTCCAGGTCACACTGCAGTAACACATGCTTGTTTCCTACACAGATTCAGCCTGTGGGACTGTATCAAAGGCTTTCCTTATGCCCACGACTAGGCCCCGTCAGTCTTCTTGTTCCTTCCTCAATAAATCAGATTTGTTAGACATGCCACCTTTTGTGAATGCAGGCAGACTGTCCTTAATTAAATCCTAACTTCCCAGGTGTTCCTATCTGGACACTTGCTCTTCCCTTTTTCTATGGATTCTTCGTGCCCAGGCTATGTTTCTCTGCCTGCATCTCCCTGATTTGTCTGGAGTCCTTTCTTGAGCTTCTTCATTGAGTCAGCAGTGTTTCTATCCCTCCCTCTGTCTTGCTTTCCAAAGGGATGTTGAGGGGAACCATTTGAAACCTGCAGGCTGGGTTCTTGTGCTTTCAGAAATATGTCTGGCATCACAGTCCTCTTGCTGCTTTCTTTTCCTCTCTTCACATCCTCTGCAACCTGGATGTCTCAGCTAGCATAAATCTCTGAGTTTTTTCCTTGCCTATAAAATGCAAGAGTCATATCTGTTTTAGAAATTTAACCTATTTCCTTCTTCATCTGGACTCAGTCTTTTTTAAACCCCATTCAGATAGAGTAACTTTGCTGTTTGATAAAAAGTTACTTCCTCATCCGTTCTCTTTTCCCAGGTGCCGGTGACCTGACGTTGTGTCAGCTCAGTGACCTGGTAGAGTTTTATATCTTCTTGATCTTTAAACATTGTCATCAGGATTCACGTCTGGGTCTTTTAATTGTACTGCACCTAATGTACATGTCCTACCCTTTCAACCTGCTTCTACCAAGAAGCAAGCTAGCACAGTCCTGAGGAACGCGGTTCAGGTATTAGCCTGCCTGGGTTCAGACCCCACCTCTGCTATTTGCTGGCTGTTGGTCTCAGGCAAGCAATTATCTTCTCTACATCTCAATTTTGGTTTATGTCCTTTTTTTTTTTTCTCAGTAAAATGAGTATGATGGCAATAGTACCTACCTCACAGAGCTGTTGTGAATACTAAATGTGTTACTGTAGTGAAAAGTGTCAACATCAGCATCGTTGCATGGACACAGTGAGCACTCTGAGTGGTAACAGTTATTAGTATTATTCTCAGCATCATCAACCCTCATTCTCATTAATGAATGTCGGTTGCTAAACTGTATCATGAAACTTTAAAGGGTGCATTCCATTGTTTTCCTTTCTCTTTCCTCTTCACTTTATCAGCTGCTTTATTTTGACTTCACAGGATCCTTTTGTTTTCTTTCCCAGAAGGTTTGAACCCTGTCATCCACATGCTTCCCCATCCTTTCACCTTTTACATTTTAATTGATATGGGAGGCAAGCTTGATGCTCATTCATACTTGGGAGTCCTGCATCCAGGAAGCAGGCCCTCTGCTAGTTAACACTAGGCTGGCGCTCGCACTTCTCCTTTGCAGGTTACTTGAAGACATTTATTACTTGGCTCCTCTGTACCCCAGGTGTCTAGTCATTATCACCTGTGCCCCAGTTAATTTTCCATGAGCTGATATCTCCTTTTACTAACAACAATTTGACAAATGCTTTCTGTTTCCTTGCTCTTTTCTTCCTTTGTCATCGGATTCCCAGCCTGTGCCACGTTCTTTACCTTCATCTGATTCCCAGGACTGAGTTCTGAGTGTCTACCTTCAGAGTTCCCACACCTCCAGAAAGTTCATTGCTCTTATTCTTCATTTGGCCTTTGGTTGTCTCTTTTGTTTGGGTCTCTTGTCTCCTTGGAAATAAGGTACATTTGAGATATGAATTCCTTCACTACCAACGTGCTTGATTGGGAAAACCCAAGTCACCATTTCTCTCCTAGGAATTTGCACTCGCTTGATTAGAGAATTCTGGAACCTATACAAAGCATCTCTGTGAAGGCTACACAAGATCCCACATGCCCATGTGTCCACCAGTGAGGTTTGCATGTAAGTAGCAGAGGGCAGACTTTAGGTCAAGATCTGCGAAAGACCAGACAAGCAGAGCCCACTGAGGAAGAAGCAGCATGAGTCTGCCCAGCTGCAGAGAAGTTCTTGGAAGAAGCATCCTACTCCTCTTGGCAGCTAGGATCTTGTTGAATTTAATGACCACATTTATAACACAGACCCTGTGTACTTCCAAAAAAGATATGAGGTCAACTGGAGTTTGAATCCTAATATTTTGAGCTATTGAAAGGGGTCTGACATTAAAGAAAAGGGAGGAGGATGATGATGATGCTGGTGAGGATGATGATACAGGACAGGTAACATCTATTGAATGCTCAGGGAATACCAGACACTCTTCTGCATATTAGCTCATCTAGTTCCCACTACAACTTTATGAGACAGTCTGTGCTGTCATTAGTTCCATTTTGCAGGAAGAGAATCTGAGGCACAGAGAGGGTAAGTGATTTGGTCAAGATTATAAACCTCTGGCCCCAGAGTCCATTTCTGAACTCCAGGGCTATCCTGCCTCAATGTCCAATAAGTGTAATCTATTTCCATTATAACTGAGGAAAAGGGAAAGACTAGACTAATCATCTAAGCATCTGCCTCCAGAAAGCATTAGTGACCCTGGCCTCGGACCCTCCCAGGTCCTGATGCTGATTGTTCTGTGCTACTGGGAGTTGGGGGTGGGGTGGCACTGAGGCATGGAGAAGCTTACCTAATCTCTGACTTGCCTGGGGAATGTGAGAGGGGAAGGTCCCAAATGGCTTTAGGCAGGCACCAGAAAGAGGAAAAATGAAAACCATGTCAAAGATAAATCGAGCCGTTCTTAAGAGTTAGAAAGTAGACTTAATTAGGACCAGCTCTCCCCATCCAAAACCACAAAAGTTAAAATGGGAAAATATTTCCAGAAATGCCCATTATGTGTTGTTAAAAAATATCTAGAGTAAAATATATGTTTTATTTTATACATGCCTCCAGCTAAAAATTATGCTCTTACTCTCTCTCACAGAAGATGAGAATATGAACCCAAATCTAGACAGCCCCACATCAAATTTAGGTTGCTTGCAAGCACTGTAGTTCTCTATCAGCCAGATCTTATTCAAGCTCCTCAAAGGAGAAAAAGAGGGGAAAAAATTAAAAAATAAAAATAAGAAAATAAAAACAAGCCGTGGGGCTGGGAAAGAGCCTTTCCTGACAGGCTGTGGCATGTCAGCATTTGCTCCTATTTCATTAAATGGCTTTCCCGTCGTCTCCTATTGGTGCCCATGACGGCACATCTTTCATCACTGTGTCTGCTGTCCTTCTCTGAACTCACGGAAGGGCCACAAGTAATTAGCAGAGATCATCCAGGGGTGGGGGAAGGGAGGGAGGCTCACCGTTCCCAGATGGGACCTCCAAAAATCAGATACAGGGTTGCCCTGTTCACTGCCCATCGGCCTCAGCCAGGCCTTTCATTGGCCCAGATTTCTCAGAGTGTTTGAAGATGATTCATGCTGTGAAAAACTTAATCCCTGTCTTCCAAATGGTTGGCTTTTTAAAAAAACAAAGCAAAACAAAAAAACTACTGTGTAGGAAAATATCTTTAACTTGATTATGTTTTGAAAAATGATTTCTACATGACAGACCAATACCCTTTTTGAAAAAGTAACTCGTCCCCCTTCTTTTTTTTTTTTCCCCTTGCTGCTTGAGTGTTTTAGCATTTGCTGGGGGTCCGTTCTCTGACTCTCAGGATTTGTCAACATTGCAGAGGCTTTTTTGGTCATTGTTGCCCAGAGGTTTACACGAGCACCCCAAATTGAAGTTGATGGTCATTTATTTATTGTTGTTAACCTCTCTCCCCCTGTACAAGAGCAGTTGGGTGTTTATTCTTCTGAAGCCCCATTTCAGAGGTCTGAGTGTAGTATGCAGACTTACTGCAAAAGTACCCCAAGAGTCAATGGGGAAACAGCCCAGCTCTGTCATACACAAGCCACCAAATGTGCTCCCAAGCTGGAGGGTGGAAGGTGTCCAAGACAGTATGGTAACCCTGGGAAGAACTAACTCCGATTTTCTTTCTTTTTTTCTTAACTTGTTTCAGTTAAGAAATGCCATGGTGAATAGAAAGACCGGGAAGTTTTCCATGGAGGTGAAGAAGACAGTGGACAAAGGGGTACATTTTTCTCAAACATTCTTGCCGCTTAATTTAAAACAAACCACTGTGAAAAATTAGCTTTGAAAGTTCTATCTGGAGTAAATATCTTTCGCTGAGATCATTTTTCTCTTGTCTTTACTTATCTCAAACAAGATTCATGTAGTACTGTTAACCTGATCATAGTGTGTCCATTTATTTTTATTTATTTCTGAAAACTTCACCTAGCAGACTAACCATGTTTTCTTTTCTCTACGACTTTTTTTTTTCAATCTAGAAACGGGTTTTGGTGATGACAAATGACTACTATTATACAGACATCAAGGGTACTCCTTTCAGGTAGAGCTGACCATAATACGTGGACATTCCATCAGACCCATCAGTTGTGTTTGTACAAAACCTGCTGACGCTTTCAGAGCTCATCATCTGAAGATAACCAAACACCCTGCCGAAAGGCCGGAAAGAGTGAGGAAGGGGCTTTTCCCAGGCTGCTTTTGCTTTTGTTTTCCAGAAGGGGGAAGATGGTTCAGGCTCACCTAGGAGAACTCACTCAATTTGTCATGGCTTTGCATCTCATTATCAAGCAAATAAGCTTCTGGGGTTCTAACTAAGGGCAGATAGATAAATTCAGAGGGTTACCAGGGTCCTTAACCATCTAACTTGCTGCCTTTTATTTCCATGATCCTTCACACTTGGAGGTAGCATATTCATCCCTACATGTTGTGCTTCCGTTTTAATTTCTCTGAACTGTTCTGTGCTTGTCTGCCTTTGAATCCTGTTATTTCTCTTTGTAACAATCCTGAAAAATGCATTTGCCCCCTTGCCTGCTTTCAGAAGTGTATGTGGCATTCTAAAATTTCCTGCTATTAACTTAGTGTGATAACACTTTTTGTAAAAAGTTATTTTGGTAGGGCTTCTTTGTGTTCCTGAACTGGTGCCTTGCAGAGCTAAAGAGAGAAAGAATTTACTAACTTAGATTAATCTTTAAAAAAAAAAATGTGGCGTTGTTGTTGTATATGGCCAGGGATCATGGGTGGATTCCATTTGGAGCCAGAGCGGTTGATGGAACACATGACTGCTAAGTGGGTTTACCAAATGAAGAGACTGTGTTATCAAAACATACTCTCTGACTTTAGGCAATGAAGGAAGGAGCTTAAATCAAGACTTTGAGAGTGTGAGAGTGTGAAAAATCTATCAGGCAAGGGAGAAGGTTGGGCAGAGAAGCCCACGATACAGTCATGTGGCTACGTTCAAGTGGCAGTAGAAGTGTTCATTTTTGCCATTGAGAAGGGGTTAATTTTCCCTCGTCCCAAACTCTACAGTCTGGAAAGAGCCGTGTGTGGCTGAATGTAGGGCAGGGGTGCATAAGGTGGTAGTGAAGAGCAGGACACGTAGCACTTGCAAGAGCATCCAAAAGAAGGGCTTGCTAGAAGGGCTTGTAGGAGCTGCCACACCTCTTTAAACACACGCAGGAGCCACCCATTGCTGTTGCACTTCCAATCAGAAATTACACTGAAGCGGCTGATTGAATAAGAAACACCAACACCAACTATAATCAGTGGGGTTTTGAAAGTAAACTTGAAAAACATTGTTTACAGAGCATGAAATGGAAATGTGAAAACGGAAAATAAAGTTCACCTGCAAGTCTGTTCCAGTCAGTGTCATGGATTTCAAGGTCTGCCTTGTTTCTCTGCACAGTTTAGGTGTGGCGCTCTCTAGAGGCCATGGGAAATATTTCTTCCGAGGGAATGTAACCATTGAAGAAGGTAAGATGCTGCCTTCATCCATCTTATCCTTTTGTGTGGGAAGAAAGCCCTGAAGCCAGCTGTTGGGTTAGCTGAAGAATTTGCTCATCTATCCAACCCTTATTCCAATCCCTGGACATGTGACTCAACCATTTACCCACCTGCTGTTACCTTGCTCTCCGAGACTGATTCAGAATGGTGGGACTCCCAACTAGTGATGGCCTTCTGTGATTTCATTTATGTTCTGCTTTCATCCACAAAGTTGTTGAGGCAACTCATAAGAATCATCCATCCACCAACTGTATTCTTCTCATACATAAAAATTAGTACCAAGAAAAATACGAATTAGTATAAAAACTCAAGCCCAGGAAAAGAAAAAGAAAAGAAAGCTGTGCGAGCCTTAAGTCTTCTTCATAGTTGAGCCACAAATTTCACTTGTGTTTCAAGGCAGCTTGGGTCCAAGGGAAATGTGATCATTCAAATGATTTAGTAAGTCAGAAACCCGCACCCCCTGCAGTGGAAGCGTGGAGTCTTAACCACTGGACTGCCAGGGACGTCCCTCTTCTTGTCTTCATAAAGCACCAGTGCACTGGAAACTCCCAGTAAATGGTAGCTGTTGTTACAGCCCTTTCAACTTGAAAACTGCTCTCACCCCCATACTGTCCTTTTCATCTCCCAACAAGCTAGTAGCTCAGAGAAGTTATCTTTCCCAGTATCACCAGCTCACAGGGAGGAGTGGGTCTGGCCTCTGAAAGGCTTCACTCCCAGAGTGGCCTTGAGTAAGTCACTTGCCCAACCTAGGTGTTCTGTTTTGCATCTTGACAGAGAAGGAGTTGGACCAGACCAGTGCTCTTTGTGGGTATCCTCAGGGAGTGTGGCCAAGAGTGGGAAGGTCAGTTACAAGCTGGGTTTTAATGGGTTAAAGCTGGTTACAAATGAGTTTGGTGAACTTCCAGAAGCTAGACCACCTTGTGGCTCACTCCGATGATGCAGTAGAGAATGAAGAAGGAGATTGGAAGTCCCTGAGATGCCAGGTTTCATAGATGGCCTTCTGGTCTACTCCTGAGTGTCCCTGCATTGTTTCATGGGTTTTGGGTTTTGTCTCCCAACTGATTGTGAGATCTTAAGGAACAGGAAGGAGAGTGAAGAGATCATCTTGACCAGGGCAGAACCCAGAGTATGCCCACTGCAGAGATATTCAATCATGTGCTCCCTCTTCCTAGAGACAGGCAAGGAAAAACAGGCAACTTTGTAATTTGGGCAAGATACTAAACAGGATGTATTCTCAGGGATCTTTTTTTTTTTTTTTTTAACTTCTTTAATTTTCTGGCTCCATGAGCCATGTGTGGCTCTGTGGATGTCACTGCTCGTGAAGACAGAAAATTCACATCTAAGCCATCTGAGGTCAAGATGAGGAAATAGCTCATCGTCAGAACAGTAAAAGGAGAGATTGTTAATGGATTATTTGCCTCTCTTGTGTTCATTCCCTTAGTCAATGGACCTGACCCTCCATCTTCTCTCTCTCTCTCTCTCTCTCTCTCTCTCTCTCTCTCTCTCTCTCTCACACACACACACACACACACACGCACACACACACACACACAGTTGTTTTGCATTGTTTTTTGGAGGACTTCTTCATTTCTTTAGTCACTATCATCTTCTGTTAGGCTAAGAGCTCACACAGAGAGAATTTTAGAGCCAACTGCAACCATCCTGCAAGAAATTAGTTTGAATTCTAGGCAAGGGGAAGAGTGTCTGGTTATCCACACAAATGAGGTCAGATCTTCCTCTCTGTGTTGGTCCTCTGTAAATAAGAGGGCTTCCAATCCTGCCAGCTTTGCTGAGTTACAGAGCCTGAGAAAACTGCTTCCCCTGGGCTAACTGGTAGAGGGGCTTGTCATCCATAAAGGCCACGGCTTGATTACCATTCTGCTCTGTTCTTAAAGAGGGCAGGAGTTTCTTGGGGATGGTGACCGCTTCTGAAGGTTGTCCCGTAAAGAATGCTCTCCCATAGAATGTAGGAATTTTCAACCTGCCTTGACAATGGCAGGTATTACCAAGGTGGCGAACAGGCTGATTTTGCTCAAAATGTAAGGAGTTGCTACTGAGGTTAAAGGTATGGGCTGTAGTTCTACCTGCTGAAGTCATTTCTCTTCTGAATCTCCTTGACACTTTATCTTTATATATATGTAGTACATAGTACTTGTTCAATAAATTAGAGCTTATGTCATTATTGTTAGCATTATCAATCAAACAGTAGGTGTGATTTTGTCAGGAGGATCAAAATCAGAGGTGAGAGGGTTAGAGAACAATCATATTTCCTTGGTGGCCTAGGAACTCAGAGAGGAAGCAATCAAAAAGATCTTCCCTTCAGGGTCTCGTTGATAGGTCCTATGAAATATAGGCAGAGAGGGCTTTGCAGATGAAGGTTGATGAGAACAGAAACTAGAAATATATTATATATAGACTTGATATCATTAACCCAGTATTCCAGGAAGGTGAGATCCCAGCTCAGGGCCTCTGCAGCTGTGGTTTCTTCTGCTGCGAGCACCTCAGTTACTACGTGGTTCTCTCCTCACCTCCTCCAGGTCTTTGCTTAAAGTCACTGTCTCAGGGAAGCATCTGACTCCCACTGTTAACAATGAAACTCTTTCCCTCATCCCTCCCCATCTCTTGGTACCCCCTCTCCTTGCTTCATTCTCTCTCTTAACTTCATAGCCCTCACTACTGATAGGCTATGTATTTTAACTTTATTTACTTATCTCTTTTCTGATGCTAGAAAGTAAATACCATGAGAGCAGCAGTGATTTTTGTATTGGTCACTGCTATGTTCTCAGGACCTAGAATAGTACCTGGCACATAGTGGATGCTCAGTAAATATATGGAAGGAAGAACGGGAGGGAGGGAGGGAGGAGTGGAGGGAAGAAGAAAGGGAAGAAAGGATGGATGGATGCATAGATTGTCCTAGGGACTAATCACTATTCCGTTCAACCCTCTCATGCAGTCTGTGAGTTAGGCACTATTACCCACATCTTCTGACTATAAGTCAAAGAGTTGAAGCGACATTCCCAACATCATTCAACCAGAAGGTGTTGGAGCCAGGATATGGCCACTTGGGTCATATAGTATGATATTCTATATAATTCATTGCCTACTTCCTATAAAATCAAACAGGAGTGTGTGATGATAGTTCTAGTATTTTCCTATTTATTTTGTACATTTGTATTTGAGGAGGAAACTGGAATCCTGAGTGCAGTAAGATACTGTTGGTCACTTGGGAAACTGACATTCTCAAAAATTGGAGTTCCTGAGGTTGTCACTCAGAAGTGTTTGTCTGCTGATGACCCATCAAAATGAAATCACATAAAGACACAAGGAAAAAGAGTGATTTCACAGAGTTAGGGTGTCTCGGGTATTCTATATATAAAAACTCCCCAATTCCCTGCAGGCCTCAGTTCTTCTAGCTACCTCTCCAGACTGATGATTCATTTTAACTTAGCATCCTGTATCAACTAGCAATTTTTGCTGGTCAAAAACAGTTGAGTATTGGCAATCTCATATCATTCAACCTATAATTTCACCCTCACAACCACCTGTCAGTTAGGGACTATTATTATTACTGTTTTGCATGTGAAGAAAGAGTAAATCAACCTGCTAACATCACACAGCAGTTTAATGGCCCACCCAATTTCCCAACTCAGGCTGTACTGTACGGGCCTCCAAAGTTGGTGTCTCCACCATCTTGCTAAGCTTCTCTCCCAGGACTCACTGGTGCATCATTTATCTTCAGGGAGTTAAGGCTTTCCTGGGAGACTGCCAGGGAAAGTTGCAGTGGTGGCTGAGTGAGGTGGACGTGGGGGGAAGGTTCTGCCTGGGAACAGAACTTGTTTCCTATGTGCAAAGTCCCTTTTCTCAGGCAGATATCTTTGGTGTTGATGTCTACCCTTAACCCCCACCCCCCATGGCCTTGCCCTAGAACATTTGAAGCACAGGAGAGCATGAGGGGGGTGGTCAGTACCCCACACAGATGGTACTTACTCATGATGCCCTTCTCCTTGACCTCCAGGCCTGCATGACTTAGAACACCCTGATGTGTCCTTGGCAGACGAATGGTAAGAATGGAATGATTCTTCCTCGGCATTGGTGTTTGTTACCCTCTTTGATTTCAAGTTGTCTGTATTCCCTTGCCCAGTTCTCCTGGTTCAAAAGCAAAGGAAAGTGATGCCATAAATATGTACATGTTCTTGTTTTGGGCCATGTCACATTCCTAGGTCCTACTGCAACACTGACCTACACCCAGAGCACCGTCATCTATCTCAACTAGAAGCTATTAAGCTCTACCTCAAAGGCAAAGAACCTCTGCTCCAATGTGAGTGTGCTTCCAAATGCATGTGTGTGTGCCTATGGTGGTTGGACGGTGGGTGTGTGTGTGTGTGTGCGTGAACTCAAGACCATATTTCCCCTCAGTTTTCATGGGAAGCTTTGCTTTGGCCGAGATGATCAGTCACATTAAATCCAGCCAAATATCTGCTTCCTGTAGGAACAGGAAAAGGAATGTGGGTTACCAAGAGTCATGCAGAATCCCCAATCCCAGTTTAACACTGCACATTGGATTTTTCCCCTTACCAAACCATTTAGTCAAGCGCCTGAGTAACATGAAAATGTTTCAACTGGGAGGGGACTGTCGATATCTGCTTTTTTATTTTACAAAGAGAAACAAGGGGTGGAAATAGGATTTGTCTCATCCAAGGCCATAATCTAGGCCTCCTGGTTCTGTCCGGTGTGGGATTGCCACTGTGACATGTTGCTTTTTGCACTGTATATTCTGCTGCCCCTCCTCCTACAGAGTGCCCTCTGAGGGAGCTCAGTGAGTCAGAAATGGCAGTAGCTGGTGATGGGGGCAGGGAAAGGGGGGCAGAGAGAGAGCAGCAGCAGGCCTGATGCTCACCAAGTGCAAGAACAGTCCCTGAACAAGGATAAATTAGTTCCAGTAGCTAATATTTGGATATATGGATGTATATCCATATATAGTATGTGCCATTATTTTCATTACTTTGTATATTAAGATTTATATATATATAATTATATATTATTCATTTTAAATTTATATATTATCTCAATTTATTCATTGTCTTTTTGATGGTGAGTTATTTCCAGTTTTTGCTTTTATAACAAAACTGCACTGTCTTCTTGGCCACCAGCTAAGGTGATGACTGGCCTGCTAGGTGATAAAGCTGTAGGGCTCTAGGATGCCTCTGCTAGATTCATGATATCCTCCTGATTCCTTGGCCTCTTCCACAGAGCTCTATCAAGAATTCGCTTGGATAAGGACAGATGTCCTACTTTAAAATGAAAAAAAAAAAATCTTAGATGGAAGGAATGACAAAATAAGAGTCCCAGAAGTTCTTAAGCTATCACACCCCTTTCCCTTACAACCAAGATCAGGGCCCTGAAGAATTGCAAATTTTGATAGAGGACAGAAATGGGGATGAAAAGAGCAAACTGAGGAGTGCTGCCTTCTGATCTCCGAATCCCAGAGCTGGTGTGCTGGTCTATGGCATGAACTAATAGATGGGGGAGGGAAAGTAGAAAACTGAAGCGTGAGACACCCACGACTCTCAATTTACTATCATCTCATCCAAATGCTTTGGGGGCCCTTGTGTTGTGGCATATCAGGTGTCAACTGTTTCATATTTTCAGCTGGTGGGAGGTTAACGCAGGAACACACCATAGGAGAAAGTAGCCTGTAGATACTGTAAAATGAGCCCAGTGTGCACTTCTCATGCTACAATTTGGGGTCTAGCCAAAGCCATCTTCTCAAGTCTATCCCTCCCAACAGGTGATAAAGAATTGATACAAGAAGTCCTTTTTGATGCTGTGGTGAGTGCTCCCATTGAAGCCTATTGGACCAGCCTTGCCCTCAACAAATCTGAGTAAGTGGTTGCACGTGTCCCCCTTTCATGGCCATTTCCCCACAAGCCGTCCGAAATATGGTTATGGTTTAAAGAACTAAACTGTTTTAGGAGGCTGGTGTTAAAGTTCTTTAATTTTCCCCAAAGCTCCAAACCACAAGAGCTAGAGCAGATTAGCGGCTCTGGCTTGGATGGCAAGCTCCTGGGTTTGACATATAATTTGTTTGAGTTTTAACATTACATGAAATTTGGTATGCTGAGGTAGGGTGACACTTCCGAGAGAGAGGGAGGCGGAAGGAGCATTTTGCTTCCTGCCCTGCCATGGCTCCCTCACCTTCACTGTCTAGAGGGAACTTGGGATCTGGGCCAGGCTAGGTTGTGAGGAGGACAGGGAAGTGAGAGCTCTATTTCATTAGGGTGTCAGATATAACCCTGCAGTTTTATTTCTGAAGTGGAGGATGTAGGGGGAGGAGGGCAGGCAATGGTAGTTGTTGTCAAAGACTAGGGTGAGAACTGCTTCAGCAGCTTATTTTTAATATTAATACTAGTATTTTACTATTTTAAGTAGGCTGTTAACAATTAAAAATAAGAGAGACAATTATTCCTTTTTCCTTATACCTTCATGTCATACATTATTCAGTTCTCTCTCCTTTTTTATTCTTTATTAGCTCCTTTCCTTTTTTTATCTTGTTTTGTATATTTTCCTATATCAGGTCTATTATTCATTCTGTTCTCATTTTCATTCACTCATTCATCAAATATTGACTGCACGTCTGTTATGTTCCAGGCACTGGGCTAGGTATTGGTGAAATCGAGGTAACTCAATCAAACACAGTCCTCACCATCATGGTACCTGTGATATATAGTGTGCTATATGATTAAGAATTGTGATAACTATGAAGGAAAATTAGACATGTAGGCAGTAACAAGACTTAGAGTGGAGATAGAAGACAGGAAAGGCTTTTCTGAGCAGGAACTAGTTCAAGGGTTCCCTGGGAGCATTCCAGGGAATTGGAACAGTATGTGCAAAGGCCCTGAGGTGAGACAGTATTTGACATGGTTGAGGAATTTAAAGAAGGCCAACAGAACTGATATGTAGAGCATAGGCTGGAAGATGTTAGGAGACAAGGGTACAGTAGGGCCTGGTGGTTCAGGACCTTGGGAATCAGATTAAGGATTTTGGATTTTATACTCAGAATATTGGAAAGTCATTGAAGAATTTTAAGAACGACATTTTAAGATTTTAAGAAGGAGATGATTGGATTTGCATTTTTAAAAAAGACCCTTCTACTGCTATGTGGATAATAGAATGTAATGGGGGTAAGAAAAATAGTAAAGGCTCCTACAGCAGTTCAAGGGATTTGCCACTTGGACCAAGGCAGTGGCAGTGGGCACAGAGACAAGGGATTTACTTGTGGCATGCTTTGGAAGTAAGACCCCCAGGACTTGGTGGTGGGTTCACGCTGTGAGGGTAGGGAGGCTGAGCTGTCAAGGATCATTCTCAGGTTAATGACATCAATATCTGGGTAGATAGTGGTGCCATTTCCTAGGACAGGAGACAGTGAAGGAAGAGCGGGTTTGGGACTGGACATGGCCAGAATTCTTTTCTAGATATTTTGTAGTTAAAATGACTCCTAAGCATAGATGTAAGGTAGGTAGTTTAATACATGAGTCTGGACTCCCAAAGATATAACCACTCTCATTATATTTGGGGGTATCCTTGGACTGCTTACCTGCATGGATCTTATTCCCTGGGAGGTTTGGAAAGAGTCAAAGCCTTTCCTTTGATTGCATTCTCTAGTGGAAATGTTTCTTTTAGGTTCTCATGAAACTCAAAATCCTGTGGAAAGATTGCTGATTCACCCCTAACAGATGCTAAAGATTTCCAAAATGGTAGCTTGCATTGTGGTCCACATCTGTAACTGATTGGGCAGCCCGACTTTACAATTTGCTGTAGGCTACGAGCAGAAACAAATGCATAATGTTTGTTTTTATTCATCCCTTAAATACTTAAAGGTAGTATTGACCACTTTGACAACCATCAGAGATCAAGTAACTAAATTATCTTATACTGAAGATGACATGGATAAAGCTTGGAATCAAATTGCTACTAGCATCTAGGGTGGGAAGCAAACTCAGGAATCAGTATTCTCTTCATATTTTTTTGTAGAATAAAATTATGTATTTGTGGAGAAAGACCATTTGCTGTTTTTCTGAAGAAGTATCCACTGAGAAAACCCTGAAGAACATGTTCAAACATATAAAATTTGCCTTGAATGTTGAAAAAAAAATCTTTGCTGAATTTTCAAATGAGTCTTCTTTGCTAAGGCTGTCCTTAGAGTTCCTATGTGTGGCGTCCTGTAGGGCTATTTACAGAAGTCATTTCTTTACTCATCCCTCTGGGGTTGGTGGTGAGGATAAGGCCTATTCTTTAGTAGAAGTTACCAGTTGGTGCCCCCAAAATGGTGTAGAATTCAAGTCCTAAACATTTCCAGGCTGTGGGATACTACAGACTTGAGTCAGTGACTCAGTTGCTTCTTTTCGTTAATGGCAGATTCCACTAGTGGTCTCAGAACCAAGAATAGGCTTGGTAGCATCAGATGAAACAGCTAGCTCTAAGGCTTTTCTTCCTCTCCTCAAAGTTGGCCTGCTCTTTCTGAACTTGCACCCAGAACCCTGAGATAAAGGTGTGTTTATTTAGCATTCGGGATGCATTTATTTCCTCCTGCTGCTTCTTTGGTCATGGACTTCTTAGTTTTTCTGGCAGGAATTACCACGAAAACTTTTGTAAGGAATAAGAGTTTGCATCCTGTGTGTGCATGTGTGCATATGTTTCTATAATTTCTTCCAAAATTTCAGGCTTCAAGACTGTTATTTCATAAAACATTCCATGAGTCTTAAAATGCAGAAGCCATTATCTGCTTACTGTCTGGCAGAATCCCCCTGATTCCTTCTGCTCTGTTTCAGGAATTCTGACAAGGGTGTGGAGGTGGCCTTCCTCGGCACTCGCACAGGCCTCTCGAGAATCAACCTGTTTGTTGGGGCCGAGCAGCTCACCAATCAGTAAGTAGGGAGCTCCTGAAGTGGGACAGTGAAAGGGAAGCTTATACCATTTATTGATTCCACCAGCAGTAGAAACAAAATTCAGGCCACCCCAGGCCTGTTGACATTTTTCCTCTCTGTTCTACCTCGGGGGCCGCAGTGTATGTCTTCACCTGCCCATTGTTGGCCCTTCCACGACTCTGTGTTTTTCACGCTTGTTGGCTTCTGTCCACTGTCCTGGAGTCCTCTCCCGCCCTGGTGAGTCATTTCGCTCAACTCTGGAGATGGTGTGGCTGGTAGGGGAACAGCCAGTGGGAGGACTCACTCACCTCCTGACAAATGACTGGAGGGCATTCAGCTGTCCCGCAGCTCTGCTGAGGAATTCCTGCCTGTCCCGAGAAGCAGTGTTTCAAGTCTGGTGTTTATTTGTTTGTATATGTTTTAGTAAATCTCTGTGCCTCAGCTCGGAGACTGAGGGCCTGTAGAGCCCCACACTCGGGAGCAGGCATTCTGGTGGCTCTCGGGTTTGACAGTGTTTCCTTGTTCTTCTAAAGAGACCCAGATGGACAGTGGGCAGAGTGTCACCAAGTTCAGTACCCAGATGCCTTTTAAAATAATTAATTAATTAATTATTTTTATTTTATTTATTTTTGGCTGCGTTGGGTCTTTGTTGCTGCATGCGGGCTTTTCTCTAGTTGCGGCGAGCGGGGGCTACTCTTCATTGCAGTGTGCGGGCTTATTGCAGTGGCTTCTCTTGTTGCGGAGCACAGGCTCTAGGTGCACGGGCTTCAGTAATTGTGGCACATGGGCTCAGTAGCTGTGGCTCGCGGGCTCTAGAGTGCAGGCTCAGTAGTTGTGGCGCATGGGCTTAGTTGCTCCACGGCACGTGGGATCCTCCTGGACTAGGGCTTGAGCCCATGTCCCCTGCATTGGCAGGTGGACTCTTAACCACTGCACCACCAGGGAAGCCCTCAGATGCCCTTTTATTTATTTATTATTTTTTTGTGTGTGTGGTACGCGGGCCTCACTGTTGTGGCCTCTCCCGTCGCGGAGCACAGGCTCCGGACGCGCAGGCTCAGCGGCCATGGCTCACGGACCCAGCCACTCCGCGGCATGTGGGATCTTCCCGGACCGGGACACGAACCTGTGTCCCCTGCATCGGCAGGCGGACTCTCAACCACTGCGCCACCAGGGAAGCCCCAGGTGCCCTTTTAAACCACTGCTTGGCCCCTGTGTCTGTCTTCAGAGAGCCACAGGGTCTTAATTCTTCAAATTGGTATTTGACCAGAGCTGGTGTGAGCCTGGGAAGTCTTTCCTGAGCCCATTAATATGTTTTCTCAATTTCTTTTCTCTGAAGTAAGAGACATTATTAGGCCAGGGATGAATGGAGCCTAAGATTCAGAGAGTTTGCAAAGTGTGTGTTTGTGATTCCAGAGGTTACCATGGAACTTCACAAATCCTGACCTTCAGGGTCCCTGAGAGGGGGGAGGTGGGGATAACCAAGGCACAGGGTGGCCACCAATTTGAGAGGGGTTGGCCCATCAGGAGCCCAATGAGGAAACACTCCTGTCCCATTAAGCCCAGCTTAGCTGTGCTCTTGTGTCTCTTAGATGAGGCCCGGACACCCACCATATGATCTTTTAAGACCAGGTCTGGTAAGTGGCAGATCCATAGATTTTTGGATGCTTTGTGAACTGGCTTTTAATGCCCATCTGAGGACTCTTTCTTCCTCAACTTCTCAAATTTGTCATTTATGAAGTTGACTATAGTTGTGACTTGATTCTTTTCAACTCCTCTTTACCCCTGTACCCCCAAACAATTACTTTACAGAATGCAAGTTCTTAGGAAGGACTAGAAGTGTTGGGATACACATTGCCTTCTCCTTTTAGGACCCAGAGTGGCAAAGGGAGACACAGGAATAGACTTTCTAGTGCTCAGAGCAAAAAACTGTTGTATGTTTTGAGATTAAGACAAATAAACAGGAAAAGTACTAACAGCAACAAAACATAGCACCTTGCTAGTCTTATATACAGGTGATTGTGATGGATTTGAAATGTGGCAGGACCACACTCAGGACTGCTGGGATGTGTACCTGGTTCACCTCACTTGATACATCTGAAAAATGGGTTAATGATCTCCCTGGTTTACTGTGAGGATCAGAAAACCTTCGGATGTGAAACTGCTCTGGGAAGCTAAAAGTATCTACAACTATGAATTCTTTGTGACATTATTGTGACTCAAAGTGAATACTCATTGGTTATCTGGTTGGGTGAAACAATTCTTGTCTTCAGGAAAATCCTATCATTGATTCATGTAGAGGCACCTTGACTTCCATTGTCTTAGCGTCTTATACCTGCCTACCCACTCCAATCAAATGATATTTGTTGATACCCAACTATTTGGATGCGCTCTATTAGCCAGGTCTAGAAAGGTTTTAGAATTTCTATGTTTTTTTTTAAAGAGAGCATACAAGGAAGAGTTCAAAGTATTGGTGATAGGTCTGGGTAATAGAAAGTTCCCATCCTAGAGCTATACTATCATCAGGCTCCTACACTGAGGTTCTATCTCCTGTCCCTACCACATGCTTTTCGAATTAGATCCATTATAGTTCATGGCTTCTGTAACCTGCCACCATCCCCAATATTAATATATCCTGTGCTTTCAGTGTGGCCTTTTGGAGCACGTGTAGTAACACACATATAGCAACCTGTGATGTCAGCCTCCGCCGTATGGTTACTGCTCTCCTCCTAAGTCCTAAGTCAGTCCTAAGACAGTCCTAAGTCTAAGAAATTATCACTTCACAGCTTCCATTTAAAGCATAGAGAATGAAAAAACTCTTGGGCTTTAAGAATCCCATATATTTGTGTGAGCCGCTTTCAGTTTACTTAGCCCCTTCACACATGGTGTTATGTTATTCTGATAGTATCGTGCTAAGTGTAATATTATTATTCCCACTTTGTAGATGAACAAATGGGGCTCGGAGACTCAGTAACTAACCCAAGTAACTCACCCAAGATCATTCAGCTCTGCCTAAAACCTAGACCTGTCTCACCCAACACCACAACAGTCCCTAGTATCCAGAAGTAAGAACAGTCCTGTTTGGCTGGAGGGTAGGGAGGGGGGGAAAGAAGCAAAGATCCCCATGTGGACCCATTTTTACCTCCTTTACCCTTTTTATAAGAAGAGAGAGATCTACCTAAGATGTTGATCCTCTCAAGGATATGTATCTGTGTGTTTGGATTTTAAGGCAAGACAAAGCTTTCTGACTCCCTTTGGTCTTCTGGTGTGATTTCTGGAGGCTTTGTTGGCTTGCTTCAGATGCTAAGACTATTAGTTCACTAGGTATACTAGGAAAAATCATTTCACCCACTGGAGTCTGACTGCCAGGACTCTACAAGATATTTCTGAGTAATCTGGGGTATACAATGTTACACAGGTCCTCTCTGTACTGAGAAAAGCAGGTTGGGGTTCTAAAAGCCAACATTATTTTTACCCAACAAAAGCTGCTGGCATGCACTCGTGTCTGGCTTTTCCTTGCTGAGTGGTGCCATGCTCTTCTTATTCTTTTCTATTTCAAGGGACTTCCTGAAAGCTGGAGACAAGGAGAACATCTTTAATGCAGACCATTTCCCTCTCTGGTACCGAAGAGCCGCTGAGCAGATTCCAGGGAGCTTTGTCTATTCGATCCCATTCAGCACAGGTGGGTACCCTTGTTGGAGGCTGGCTGTGTCCCTTTGGTCCTGATGGCCTGGGCATTGCGTGCAGAGTATGAGGGAGCAGGCTGGATGCTAAGGGAGCCAAATTCAGTCTTGAGAGCCAGTGTTGAATATTGGCCTAGCTCTGAACCAGTGACCAGTTCCATAAGTGTTGCTGCTCCAAATAAAAGGAAGCTTTAACTTAACCAGATTGTGTAAAAAGCATGTCAGGAAGCAGGACTGTTATTTTGTACCATGTGGAATTTGAATACAAACTTCTTAATAGATTTTTTTTTAATCTAAAATGTGATCATGGCCCTACTTAGAGAAAATTCATACAGCCATAACATCCATTGCCAGAACCTTCAGCAAGTCAGATCACTCTGGAGGCCCACAGTTCTCCATCAGAACTGATTTAAATCAACATGCAAGAGTAAGGACTAAGATTTTGTATAGCCTCGTGCTCTCCTGACAGGGAGCTGTGGTGACCAATGTGAGGCACATAGCCAATGATTCTTCCAGTCTTAAGGTTTTACGATATTGTAAAAAAAACTAAGATCACCTCCCTCCAAAAAAGAACTGAACATTACCTTATTTCAACCAGTTTTAGAAGCAAGACAAACTGGAAAATCTTTTCAATTGTCCTCGGCTTTTTCTTGTTTCATGCATCTGATATTTTTGGTGCTCAGTCTGTGTAAGGCTCTGTACCGTGCCTTGTAGAAACTTCAGAGATGAATAAGACATAGTTCTATAAACTTGGATTGCTCTGGACAGTTCAATATATACTTATGTTTTATATTAGGGCCTTTTGTATTAATCTCTTGCAAGCATTCCCAAGTCAACCCTAATGGAGACTCTCTAGCGCTTAGTGTCATAGCCCCTCCCAGAGTTTTGGCACTTGCTCATTTCCATGAATGAAAACATCTTTAGAAATAAGGCTTTCAAAATTTGTGGAAGAGATGTTGGCAAGAGTTGTCTAATAATTATTTAAATGGACTCATTAGGAAGAGGGTCCCTCATTAATGAAGATATTCAAGGAAAGGCCAAGTGTTATTATAGAAATTCCCTCCCTAGGTGGGGTTTTAGAGGGGATTATCAGTTAGGTTCCTTTAAGGACCAAGATTCTTGGAGTCTGTGCTCCTGTGGTGACAGGCCTATGTTTAGCCACGGCCATGCACATACACGTGTTCTCAAATATAAATTTCCAGGTACTAAGGCTCTTTCTTTATATGTTTATCTGTATCACATTTCATTGCTGAAAATATCAACTAAGAGACAGTGGACTTTCTAATTCTGCTGCAAACCTATCAATAATAATGTCTTCTTTTATCGTGCAGTCTCATGATACTTTCTTTTTCGTAGTCTTCTAAAGAAAGAAATAGAACTTAGCTTGCTAGATCTGGACAGGAGCCATCAGGTTATCCAGAAGGGCTTTTTCCCAATACTGGACAGAGAGGAGGAGCTATGGGCAATGAGAGCATCTCCCAGAAGTGCTCTGTGTGTGTGTGTGTGTGTGTGTGTGTGTGTGTGTGTGTGTGTGTGTGTGCGCGCGCGCGCGTGCGTGATGGCTCCTCGTGTCAGTTTGCTTTGTTATTATTCACCATTTTTCCTACAAAGAATTATGTCTGGAAAAAAATTCTGATTAATTAAGGCTGGCTGTTGTCTGATTGGTTTTTGGCAGGTGGGGTTTTCACTGAACTTTCAATGAAATCGCATAATAAAAAAGGAATTTACCTTGTTCATGGTAAAGTTATGGATGACATAATATCTTAGGAGATTTCGTGGCCCCTTTAGATTTGGAGAAAATGTTAAAAATCACCACATGCAGGTGTTGTGGTGGAGCTCTCCCTCGTTTTTTTCTCCTGTGTGTTGAATACCTGTACGCACTGGAAAAGAAGCTGGTTTTTATTACAACTTAGACTCGGGCCAGAAAATTCTTAATTGCTTTGGTCATAAGTGTATTCACATTCAGATCTGCCTTCTCCCTGATTCTAAATTCAATTGGATTCCATTCAGCTCACATTCATTGAACCTTTTAAAAGGTAGGCACTGGACTAACAATTATTAACTACGGGCATTAGGAATTTGTGCTCAGCGTCTTTTAATTCATGAGTATTAGAAACATTGTTAGTAATTAAAAATCTCTTTATACTAATACCATATTGTTATCACATTAATAAGAGTTTGAGGTAAGGATTGCATTCCAGCTCTATCCCTGTTTAGAATGGTTTTGTTCAGAAAAACCATTCTTGAAATTAGAATTTTATAGATCAGTAAAGTTTTAACCAACAGATCAGAGCTAGAGTTCTCAACTCACTGTAAAATAATTTCAAAACTTTATCTCAAGCAGCTCTCCATGGCTATATTTAGAAAGGCAATATAAATATGAAAACTGACACGAGTAAACACTTATATTAGTAACCACAAATTTTTAAAAATGTGGTCCCTCCATGGTAGTTAATAATTTTGATGTGAAGCGGCTGGACATTCCCCATTGGGGGTGGTCATAACTCGGTGCAGTGATTCCTTCAGCTGAGAGGACCGCCCACCCAGCACCTATCGCCTCACAGGGCTGCCCAGCTCCGAGTTCTGGGAAGCAAGCCCCAGCAGTCTGCAGAACTGGTGACTGCAAACCAATACCATCACTCTCTTAACATAAGCTCTATGACTGTCTTCATTTTCGTCATCGTGTTTTGTTTTGTTTCTTCTTACAGGAACAGTTAACAAAAGCAATGTGGTGACAGCAAGTACCTCCATCCAGCTCCTGGATGAACGGAAGTCTCCCGTGGTGGCAGGTAAATGATGGATTTCAATCAATGAGTGTAAAGTAAGCATGGTGTCCATATCATTTGTCAACTACTTCCACGTATCAGAAACTTGGCTTTGAAAGGTAAAAAACATTAAAAACTACTTCCTCTTCATCTTAGCATCATCTTCTCCAATCCAGGGCTCTGAAACCTGGTGGAATTTGATGTGAAAGCAGAAATATTTCCTAGGATTTTATTCTTAAACTCTGAGCCAGTAAGAAATTGTTGGTGCGTGCAAAAGATCATTTCTGGACAGTAGGTGCCGTGAACACTTAAAGTAAGCTCCAGATCTTCCACTTCTATGTCATTAGGATAACAGGGGCCGTACAAGGAAATTGTGGGTTTGTTTTAGGCAAATACAAGCTGAAATGTGCACCTCTCTGGAGAGCGTGAGATTTTCATCGCCCTAATCCCCCTGAGTGATTAGAGTTAGATGTATCTACAGGTGCTGGGTTTGGGACCAGGAGAAAGCCAAAACATTTTATGATTGAGTCTTGAATTATCAAAGAAACCCTGTCTCTGGCTTTTCCCATCTCTCTCACTCTCAAGAGTATCAGTAGATTTTTGTGGCTGGCTGGCGGCTTTCATTGGTGGTATTTGGCCTAAAGGACCAGAAACTGCCACAAGCCCTCTTTTGAGGACAGCTGCTGAGAAAATGGAGCCTAAGAGCGTGTCTGGCACATTGTCTATTTCTGATAAATAATTGTTGGAGCCTTTGGTTGACGAATGGGTGAGACACTCCAAGTATCATCCTGATATTGGCTAGATTTACCAAAGGGAGTCATTTTGTTTTCAGTAGCCTCTCTCAGTAAGCTGTACCACAGGGTGATTTTGAACATCAGCTTCTGTGGTGGCTCCACACACTGAATATTTGTGGGAAGGAATTCAAATGGATCAGACATGTTTCAAGTGGTTGTTCTTTGGCTAGGAAATATTCCTTTTCCCCCCCACTTTATTTCTGATATAGCCTATACATCATAATTGTATTCTCATAGATTAGCAGGGATTGAAAGATTTGGGGACAGTTGTGCCCTGGTTATTCCTGGGTTTTTGGGTATAGCAAGAAAGACAGTCTTATGTATCTGACCTGTAAGCTCATCTTGAACTATGCAGACCTATAACTAATCAGCCAGGAGATAAGGGCTGTGAAAATTCAGGGCTGCTGTTCTTACTGTCTCATGTTCCTTGAGGAAAATAGGAGACAGGATCATTTAACTCAGCAAGATTTATTTTTGCTTAAAGGTCAGCCTTACTCGCCTCCAGGCTGACCCAGCCAGCTAGTTCTGGAGGCATGTTATCTCCCTGGAGTTGGGGCCACATGCAACAGCTGATAACGACATGGTCTGAACCAAACTGTCTGTCTGTGTGTTTGAAATTTCTTTCTAAAACCTTTTCCTTGAATTTCTCATTAAGTCATTATGAAGGATGCTCTGTTTTGGCCCTAAGATCACTGTGCCCATCCCAGCCACATCTGTCCAAGTTTACAAACTGTGTGCTCAAATGTTTCCAAATGGCTTATATTTCATAAATGTCTATTTGGCTGAGTATGGGCAAAACATGGACTCAGCCTGGGCACTGTGTATCCAGTGTGGAGAAGACCATGACTTTTCCAAATGGCATGCTTGTCTACTGTTGAGTTATACAGTTGGCCAGAGACCACAGGCAAGTCATGAGACATGGTTGGCCCACCCTGAGTGGGTGGGAGAGACATATTCCTGTTTACTACGACTCACTATGTGTCAACTCGTACCCATTTTCAGAAGATAATTACAGAGCAAGACAAAGAAACAGGGTTATCCAAGGAACTGTATTTAGTCCTTACCTTCTAAATCTGATGATTATTAATCTTCTTTTTTAAAGCGGGTCTTATAGACATAAGATAAAACAGAATTGCTCAGTTTTGATCTTGAAGGCTGACATGGATGCAGCACCGTGAAGGCAGTGACTTCAAAAGGACCTTTATGTCTCAAAAAGCAGAGAGTCCTCTTCAGCACTTCCCCCAAATTTCATTGACTCTGACTCACCCATCATGTCACTGGGTAATTAGGTTTGGTCACTTTCTTCTGTGTATTCTCCGCAAATTTAAGTAGACATTGTTTACTACTCTAAAATTTAAAAGCCCATTTTAATTGGGGAAGAAACCTTGTTTTGGCAGGTGAAGATGAATAGGTGAGCAGGCTTTTCCCCCACCAGTGTACTTCCAACAGCAGATGGGATACAGCCAACTGACAGCAATTTGGGGCTTCAATGAAATCCTTGTGTTAAATTGAAATTTTTCTGAAAGGAAAGGTGTACAATTTTAGTTTATTATCAAGGACTACTTTGAAAAGCCTGCACTGCTCCCAGATCTGATCTGGTGTTCTCATGTTCATTGGCTACATATGTCTGTTTGGGATAGAAAGTTTCTTGTTTTGGTTTTGTGTGTGTATCTCTCTGTGTGTGTGAGTGTGTGTGTGTGTGTGTGTGTGTGTGTGTGTGTGTGTGTGTTATTCTCTTCTTTCTCTCTTTTTTTCTTGTTTTTTTTTTTTCCAAACAAAAACATTTAGATAGTCATCTGTCAATGACATCTTTGAAGAAAGGGCAGTCAGTCAGACTGGGCCGGATTCCATTTATACGTCAGCCTCTGTGCATAAATGGGCCCCATACATCTTCTTGGCCTATGACATTGCTTACAGTCCTTCTCTTGAGGAACTTGCCAACTCTCCAGCTGCCACTAGCATGCTAAATTTGCTTCATTGCTTTCCAACTGCAAAGGAAGAAGTGGTATGACTTTCTCTTTGGCCCACCAAGTCTCTCCAGAGCCCTGGAACCTGCTGTGTGTGTCAGGACCCTAATCCATTTTTCTGTTGTTATTGGAGATGCAAGCCTGGGACTGTAAGGTCCACGTAGGTTTGTCACTTACTCTATAACTTGCTAAATGTGTGGTCTTGGGTCCCTGAAGTTCTATCTAAAATAGGGTTGGGATTATTATCTCTCTCACCTTACTCTGGGTTGATTTGGGGATAAAAAGAGAAAACAAACAAGAAAATATCTGGATATGTGGAAGTATAAAATTGCTAGGATTTGAGGTGGCCCATTTTTATCTTCAAGTTGGCAGTATACCTATGCATTCGTTTGCTCATTTATTCAATAAATATTTCCTGACCTCGTGCTTTTGCCAGCACTCTAGATACAAATGAATAATAACCGGGCCCTGTAATTGACAGTTCCTCCCACAGCCCCCTGTCCCTCCCCACCAGAGAACTTTAAAAGAGCAGCTATTTTTAAAGCTATGTCTACACAGGACAAGTGAATTGAAAAGCTGAGCAGTCATCTAGAAGCTCCTAGAGGTCAAAGACTTCGTACTTTTCATCTTCTGTCCTTCACAGCATAACCCGATGGAGTCCCTGGAGCATAGTGGACCCTCAGTGAGGCTTCTATAAATTGAATTGAACTTGCAGAAACCTATTTGCCCTTACTTAGTTGTTATTGACTTGAGTTCCATAAATTACCTAGATCATGTTGTTAATTCTCCACTCCACTCTCAATGGAGAGACCAGGCCCAATAGAACAAGAGTCATAGACACTGTTTCCATCATGCTAGGGTGGAAATGACCTGGAGAAGAAAATAAATTCATTGAGGGGAGGAATTGAGCCAAGTTGGAAGGTATAACCATGCAGGGAATTTCTTCCCCTCCTTGGGGTGTTTGTCTGACCTTCTGTATTCTCCTTCTAGACTCTCGCTCTGACAAATACAAAATACTTAATCTCAGTTTTTGATAAGAAGTTCATATTACTGAATTTTTTAAGTACTAGGTAATAAATTCTGAATTATTTACATTTGCTTTAAAATGTAAATTTTAGCATATCAAAATCTAAAATCTCTTCTAAGATGTTCTAGTTTCATTTCTTGAATAAATTATAAACTCTCCAGAGACAAGGACCATCCCAATTACCTTTTTATTTCTAGTGCCAAGTGTGAGGGCTGATGTGGTAAATATGTCAAAATACTGACTAAGTGACTTGAGAAAGATGGGTTTCGTATTTACTTGCTCTCTGTAGGTACATACACTTGCACAGTTTACTGACCAAACAATAGGAACACAGTACTTGACCAAAGTCTAAGAGAGTCACTCAGCAGCTAAAACTGTAATCCACACCATAGTAAAATGATACAGACCAATATGGATATTTTAAGGAGTAGAAAAACTGTTTAGTGTCCATTCCTAATGGCAACTGCGTTAGCCCAGTAGTTGTCCCTGCATCAGCAGATGTCTTTTCTGAGGTCCAAGCATCTAACCTGATGCTTAGAATAGCTAATCTGGTCAGCAACAGACATTATAGGCATTATAGGCATTGGTTATAGAAATTAATATTTTTAACAGATTTATTGAGATATGATTTACATACCAAAAATTCACCTGTTTTAAGTATAAAATTTAATGATTACTAGTAAATTTGGGGGGGCTCTGATCTATTCCTTTGCAGGGAACACATACCACATTAGATCCATTCACTGGGGGAAATTGGAAAATGTGGGTTAAATGGTCTCATTTGCATAATTCTGGGCAGTGTAATGAAGGGGGATGCTTGATATTAGGACAAAGGATCTCATTTTAACCAGATGATTAAGAAAGAGATTGCTTAACATCAATGACCATTAGCTTTTGTCAGGTACATGCTGTTTAAACTGAGTGTACTATTTAATATACAGCTTTCCTTAGAATTGGGTAAATAATGTTGCCAAAATGTTATAGGCAAATATTCAGCTTATCAACTTTCCTTTGGTGGGATTTCATATATTTGGTGTATATGAGTTAACTAGTATTTAGGAATTACGCGTCAATTCTACATGGATAAACTTCTAGTTTGTAGATCTGAGCAAAGGGAATGTTTTATCATAGCAGAAATTAATACTTACTGATTAGATTAGTTGTTCTCAACCAGGAGCAGTTTTGACCCCCAGGAGACATTTGACAACATCTGGAAACATTTTTGATTGTCATGAC